ATCCCCAGAGGTTGCGTTCAGATTGTCTCTCCTGTACCTCCTAGTAGGTTTAAAGGTACATTCTTATCACTGATAATAGGGTCAGGGAAATAAGTTAAGGGTCAGTGCTCAGGGTCAGGTGTAAGGTTAGGTTTAGGAAAAGGGTTAAATAAAGCTAACAAGAAAAACCTGGTTTTAGATGCGGGCTGCATATTATCAGCGATAAGAACGTACCTTTAAACCTACTAGGAGGGCCAGTCTGAGGGCAACCTATGTGGATGATAATAAATAATAACGACCATTTAATGGGCTGATAACATTCAAACCCACCGACTTTGGCTAAGTAATAAACCCAAAGATGCATTTATTTATTTATTTGCAGATAGCATTTATGTACTGATGTCAGAAGATTTTTTTTGGGATCAGGTGGCTGAACATTCTTTTTCTTGTACCTACCATTCAATTAATACACAAATAAACAAACAAATAAAATGGATAAATATTCACATTCAAAATGACCAAGAATCTACACTACAGTACTATTCTACAGTAAACTAAATATAAAACCCCTAAAAAATTGTCATTTTAAAACTTCTACTTGTCATAAAAGTAACGCAATGCTTTGTATAGTTATCTAATTTGTTAGTACTTGTTGAATGTTCTTGATGTATTACTGCCAGCTGAGCTTTATTGTAAGGTCATTGTGGTTTTATTTTTTGTATTCTGAATGTATTTTGAGCTAAACAGAGGTTAACGGTAATTATAAGTAAAATTATTAGGACTTTCACCTGTCAACTAACAAACATTTAATTGTGAACTTTTAGATAAGCTAAAACTAACTCAGATCAAGTATTTTAACTTTTATAATCACATTGCATATTTCCAAAATATTGTTATACATCATTTTTTATTCAGTTGTTAAACGTTGAAGACTGATTTCTTTTCTATTAGACTTTTACACAATAGATTTAGCATTAAACTGTCATATGGCCCCTGGCTTTAAATACAGAGGAACATCCTGCTGTTGGTGTTTAATGAGTGCAACATCTCACTTTTTTTTTTTTTTTTGTCAAATTAATTGTGATGTTTGAATGCAACACACAAGTTTTGCTTCTTTTTTTTTTTTTTCCATAATATGAGTCCCCGCGACCGAAAAAGGAAGAAGCAGGTAAAGATAATGGATGGATGGAATCTGTTTTGCTCCAATTATTGTTTGTGACATTTCACTGCAGATACTCTGAACCTTGTGTACTGGTGAAAATAATCAATACATTTCACTGTAATCTAAGTAAATGGCTAGCATCACACTTAATAAGAAAACAATCATACTGAATGGATTATAAGACAGCAACAACAAAAAAAAAAAATCCAGTACAAGATGTTCATATGAAGAAAACAATAAAATATCTTAATTGAATTATTCAAAATTTGAAATAATACCTTTATATCTGACTCTAAATTGTCCCTAGGTGTGAGTGAGAGAGTGAATGGTTGTTTGTCTCTTTGTGTCCCTGTGATGGACTTGTGACCTGTCCAGGGTGTACCCCACCCCTCGCACAGTGATTGCCGGACATGGGCACCGGTGACCCCCGTGACCCAAAATGGAAGAAGCGGGTAAATGATAATGGATGGATGGATCTTTATATTTTATTATTTTTGCTTGCTTTTTGATCAGCTGCTGAGTGGAACAAAGAAATGATCACTTACAGTTTTTTTTTTTTCAATATTCCCTTTTTGTCTTCTTTGGTTTGCTCTAGTGTACTTGTTATTTTAGTACATTTATAACTGTTATTCATAATACTGTTTTAATTCAAGACACAAAATGAACAACATGAGTGCATACGTGTTGTAAATAAAGTCAGGAACTAGCAATAGCTTTAAGAACCAAACATGTCACTTTACTTTGATGTACAAAATATTAGTAAGCATTTTCAACCTGATCAACACGTAATTTGATCATTTTTCTGTCAAGCTTTGTCAGGTGCCATCCAACAGCAAAGCACAAACCCACTCCTGAAGAATTAGATCCTGTCTCCCCTGCTCCTTTTCCTCTGTCTAATGATGCCATGACTAAAATGTTAATTACAGCTTAAAAGAGAGATGATTGTGAATATAAAATAGCAATTAACATGTATCATAGTCACCATCATTACCACCATTATCTGCAGTAAAAGACGGAACGTTATTTACCAAATAGCGAAATGCTCATCATTTGCTTATTCAGAGCACAAAATGTTTCAGAGGCAATATTGGAAATGAAATCATTCCTTCTTAAATTTGCATAATTAATGTAGCCTAAAAAATAACTATTGCAAGGCCCAGAGCATGAAAACAAACACCGTGCACATTGGAAATCAGCGCACACAATCCCAGGAATAAGGAACTGAATGTATCTAAGGTTATTTTACTGGAGAGATTTAAATCCTTGATAATTTGCATGCAGCACAAGTTTAAAAACAAACACGCGTACACCGTGTCCATTCCTCCAGTGCATGCACTGAAATCTTCTTTCCATGGCTCAATAACTTCCCTGATGACATTTAAAGCCCCCTTTTTTAAATTGTCATCTCCATACGTGAGTACAGTCTGACAGATTCTGGTCATATTCCCCAGATGAGGCCATTATCTTCCTTTCAATCTATGCTGAACAAAATGTCTCCTCCATTTTGTCCTAATCTGACGATTGTGTTAAAATGAAAAAGGTCAGTTCACAACTAAAACACCCACAGGACACATATTTGACTTTGGATTAATAAAGCAATTATAGTTCCTTTTCTATAATGGTTCCATTATCTCCTTTTTACGCATGAAGTGGAACCTGCAAATTAATTGTCTAACCGGACTATGAAGCACATTGTACCAGGTACATCTGACTGAAATATACTATCATAACAGGCAGTTATTAAAGTGTTTCAAGTGTGGTGGGAAAGTTTTAAACAATTATTTTTATACCTGTTGAAGATGGCTCTTGAATAGCTTCAGTTTGGAAAAAAAAAAAAAAAAAGTTTAATCAGAGTGATAAGCTGATGACCATTTTGAGCTGAGCCAAGACCAAAGTGCATTGCTGCAGTTTAAAATAGATTCAATATGAAAGAAGATAATAATAATAATGATAATAAATAAAAGCCAAAAGATTCATGCAGAAACTATTTTCTAAAACTGTGCAATAGCATCAACCTATGGGTATCTGCGGACACAGATGGCAGCAGCAAGGTTTCTGATGCAGCCAGGGGCATTTCAGGCAGGACTATTATCCTATTTTTTTTGCCAGAATTACACTTTAATGTGGAATCGATGGTGGGGTCCAGGTTTAAAAAATATTGTTCACGTCACTATGAAATTCTTGGAACTGAAGTTGAGGACAGCAACAATCACTTTGTTCTTGGCTCCATTCCGGTGAGCTCTAAACTCGTCAGTCTGGTCTAAATTTAACTATTTCTCCTAACTGAGGTTGTTGACAGAGCTATCTACAACAATGATACAATATTAATTGTTTCTAGCTACTGCACAGAACTTAAAAAGATCTGAACTATGCTTTTAAACCCATAAACAAAAGATAAAAAAAAAAAAACGAGTGCTGTGATTGACTTTATTAATATAATAATTCTTCTGACAGACGGCACAACACGGTAGAACTACCACCTCTCAGCAAAAAAGTTGTTGGATTGATTCCCAGCCAGGGGCCTTTCTGGGTGGAGTTTGCATGTTCTCTCCACAAATATGTGGGTTTTCTCCAGGTACTCCGGTTTCCTCCCACAGACCAAAGACATGAATGTTAGGCCAGGGCTTAATTTGAGCCAGATCCTACCAGAACAGGATCTGGGAACACTCTTATTTTGACAGGGTGTATTCCGGTAACTGTTTGCTTGGATCCGGTAACTCTCAGCTTACTAATAATAAAGTTATGAACAAATGACTGCCTTGAACAAATAAAACTTATATTGGATATGTAAACTGAACATAATTACACAAACAATCATTCTAAACACAACAGCATACGAACTGCCTCTTCAAGTAGCATTTCCACGTCTACACTTAAAAAAAATCTCCACCACTAAATTTTTTATTAACCTTTATTTAACCAGGCAAATCCCATTGAGACCACAGATCTTTTTTGCAAGGGAGGCCTGGGCCTGAAAACAGCCTAACATGCATGTTTTTACACTGTGGGAAGAAACCGGCGCACCCGGAGAAAACCCACGCAATCAAGAGAAGAACATGCAAACTCCACACAGAAAGACCCCAGGTCCAACCGGAGATTGAACCCTGGACCTTCTTGCTGTGAGGCAACAGTACTAACCACTGAGCCGTCATGCTAAACGAGTGATGGGGTGAGTGCCGAGCTAATCAGGCAGTCATATGCAGGCATGAGCTCACAACCGCAGGGTGGCGCCAGGAGGTTCACATGGGAGTTTGACAACAACAAGCAGGAACAGAGTCAGACTTACTTGACGATTCTGTCAAGTAACGGGGGAGGAGGGGGGATGCTTGACCGAAGTGGAGTGTTCACAAATGTAGGTAAACATATGCTGATGCATGTTCAATAATACAGGAAGAAAAGTCTTAAACAGTTAAGTCAGGTCCTCTGGCTGGGTTCAAAGTAGATAAACGTAGATGTTTAACAACCCATTAAAATACACCAAAATGCAGGAAATGGCATGGACCCCCCCACCACCCTGCCCACTATTTGCGTTCCGGCATCGGTCAGTTTACAAATTAAGCCCTGCGTTAGTCTGGTAACTCTAAATTGTCCCTAGGTGTGAGTGAGAGAGTGAATGGTTGTCTCTTTTGTCTCCATGTGTCCCTGTGATCAATTTGAAACCTTTCCAGGGCATACCCCGCTCACACAGCGACTGCTGGATATGGGTAGCAGTGACCGTTGTGACTCGAAAAGGAAGAAGCAGGTAAAGATAATGGATGGATGGAATTCTTGTGACAAATTAAAAATAAAAAAAATCCTGAACTTGTATTCATTCACTTTAAACAACTGAAGTTGAAACAAAAAGCATGTCTCTACTTACCTTGTTGTACAAAGGAGCCATAGACAAACCACATGGAATTGTAAAGTGTGGTTGAAGACACAGAGTTCATGGGCAGCCGCGGTGGGTTGAGCCAGTTGAGCAGGTACACCAGGATGCCCACGAGGAGCACGGTGCCTGCGATGCACGCCCACAGCGACAGGTCAAAGGGTGCCAGGCAGGCAAACATGTCCACTGTGCGCTCGGCCTTGCGCAGCAGAACACCCACAGAATAATCCATGTAGCGTGTGGTGAAGTCCACAACGCTCTCTCGCTCAGGCGTGATGGTCAGAGCAGAAAGCCCCACATCGGCTCGCTGCAAGAGATGGAGGCAAAGAGAGAAGTCTGAGACTTGTATTTAAAAGACATGCTTCTGGAAGCATCGGTTCTTTAAAACAAATGCTTCAAATATAGAACAGATTTGAAGACTAATTGTTTTTACTTTAAGACATCTATATTTTAGACGTGAACTAAATTATAAAGAATCAATCGTATGTTTAGACATGGATCCTTAGTTATTTTAATTAAAAAAATATATTATTTTAATTTTAAAACTATTGAAAAATTATTAAGAATAAGCATAATATATAGCGTAGGTCAAGCTGGAAATTAGGAATAAACTAAAGTGTGAAAATTCCCAATATGCGCATCATGTTTCTGTAATCTACTGTAATTTCTTCCCTGTAAACTCACATTAAGCCAACATGAGATTAGTAATCTTTTTGACGTCAGAACTTTGAATCATTTATTCATGAAATGTTTTAGCCTTTTATGGATGAAATAAAATGATACAGATCTATGCCAAAATTTGAATCAACCCCCCACCATGACATTAATGAATAGTGGTGTGGTATATTTGCAGAACAGAAGTAGGCTGTGCTCATTTCTTCAGCATTTCATGCATCCACGATCTACATTCTCAAATACAGCCGGTCGATGGCTGACATATTTTTGGCATAGATGAAAAAAGGCATATTTTTTGTCTCCGATATCAGAAGTTTTATTTTTTATTTTCCAATAACAGAAGCAGGTGCCAGTATGTATGCATTTGGTAGAGTAAATAAGGAATTATGTGTAAAAGTTTTTTACGGTACACTTTTTCAGATTAATAAAAATTATATAACAACAATGAATTAAGAATGAATTTACTTTTTCTTAAACTAATATTCTGTTAATCCAATGAGCTTTGTTTTATTGGACATTTGACAGTGAGCCAATGTTAAGTTATGAAATTTACCGTCATAACAGATCATTATCTTCTTGTTCCATGTTAGGATTAATTTGTGAGAAACATCTGTATGTTAAACTTTTAGACCTTTTATCAATTCGGCCCCTTTTTTGTTCTTTACATTGTATTTAGACGGGTAGATGCTTCTAGATATCACACTTCTGGAAACCTTTTTATATTCCAATCACATTCAAGCTTACATGAAACAATCTTCTCTGCAGGGACAAAAGTCTGCTCATTTGCACATTTAGAAATTATTACTTATAGTACATTTGAGAAGAAACCCTTCAGGAGGTCTGTTGGTTGATCATCAGAATCTAAAAAGGTCTGTGTGTGTTTATGAGCGCACGTGAACCGGAGGGAGTGCTGACACATGTGGTCTGTGATCATGCAAGCTTACAAAGAACACTCTGAATAATAATTATCTAGGATAATTGAGTTTTTGGAAAGATAAACACTGTTGCTGACTGATGGGGAAAACACAATTACTTGTATGTTGAATTTATTTATATCCTCCTGAGCTTGTCTGTGTGCACATAAATATGCATGGTGCTCTGAGCATTTCTCTATCATTTTAAGAGTGTTTGCTTATGTTTTGATGGGAAAGAAGCATTCAAAGTCAGAAGAAGAAGAGCACAGTCATATAATTGATAACGCTGACATAAAGTGAACAGATAAGGATGAGGAATAAGGAAAAACACATCAACAAAGTGTAGTATGTGTTTTTAACCTAAACAGAGCCATGTAAACCCTGAAAGAAATGGTAATTATAGGCCAGCTTTGTATTTAATCTATAATAATATGCTAGAATTTTGGTGTTGTACTACATTATTATCCTCAAATAGGTTCCAGGAAAGATGTGTGTCAGTTTTATGTAAAATACTTAAACTTATGGCAAAATATTGAGCTATCAGTGTACTGGTTGTTCTACTTTCTGTTCACAGGATTACTTAAACGTTAAAGAAAAACACAAAAGTTTGTGCTCAATAATCCAAGTATAAGGTCCAACAATGTTCAGTCAGGTCATCTGGATGGTTTCTTTTCTTTTTGTTGTTGCTGAGATGTTTCATACTTCATCCAAAGGACTTCCTCAAGCTGAGAAGCCACCAAACTAACTAATTCCCACGAACAGCATACTCCATAGTAGGAAAAAAAACAAACAAAAAAACAGTTCGCTGGTGTTAAGATGGCCTCTGGGTCCTGCCCTCTCCTCTGGCCCTCCCTATCCTCCGGGGCATGCCCTCTTCCTCGTCAACTCCTCTGAGACAGTCATGCCAAAGAGGTTCAAAACGAGGAAGAAGGCGGGCCACGGAGGCCATCTTAGCACCAGCAAACTGTTATGTTTCCCCCCACTATGGGGTACAGTAGTCCCACGTTTATTGTGGGAGATACATACCCTGAAGACCCGTGATATGTGAAAAACCGCGACGTAGGAATAGTAGTACAAGTATTAGTTTATTTTATTATTTATATAGATATATATTAAGTTGTTTTAAACCCTTCCCACACTCTTGCAATATTCTAAACAATGCTTCTAAACTCCAAACGCTCTAAAAGAGCACAGAATGTCATGATTTCAGCTCCTCCTCCTCTGCCCTTTGCCACCTGCAAGCACTCTTGACCACGCCCACTTCTCTGCTGTGCATGGTGAACAGCTGATCAGCTGCAGCAGGAAGTTTATCCTGCAGTATGGGCTGCACAAATGTAAAGCAGGTGCTACATAATTTAAACTAAGTTATTTTAAATAAAAACTCTATGCCAATTGTGTGGCTCATCCATCAATCAGACAATTGTGTGTCATGTACAATCTTATTTTGAAAAAACGCGATAGAGCGAGTCCGCGATAAACGAACCGTGATGTAGCAAGGGATTACTGTATACTGTTTGTGGGAATCAGTTTTGTTTGGTGGCTTCTCGGATTGAGGAAGTCCTTGTGATGAAGGATGAAATGTCTCACCTAAAAAAGAAACTGTCCAGATGACCTGACTGAACATTGGTGGGTTAAAGAAACAAACTTCAAATTAGAGGTTGTCAACATTTAATTTGGCATCATTTTAAGTGTAGCCATAGTCGTAGTAACTATCATATGTGAAGGGGACATGTCCCCCCCACATTAAAAAAAACGTTCATTTGGACCCCCCCCCCCCCCCACTTTTACTATAAAACATTAGTTCAAGCGCAGTTTCTCTTTCTTCGTGAACAAATCCATTCCACTTGATTAATAGGAGAATTCTCAAGCCACTAAAACTCCACTCCAGGTTTTCCTGGTTACCTCCAACTCTAAACAGCAGCCTGCTGCCTGCACTGTTTCTGTACGTCTCCTCCTGCCTCGGCAGAAAACGTGCACAGGTGGAGGAGATGGAGACACCTCGTGTTGCTCGCTCGCCAGTTTCAAAATGTCTTTAAAACCCACAGCTGAATTTACACAAACTTGGTGAGAAACATGCTTTAAATGTGTGGAATTAAAGGAAATCTAGGTGAAATGCTGCTGTTTTTTACACTAGCGTACAATTTTATTATGCGTGCGAGCACACACGCGCACACACGCGCACACACACCTACACACATCAGTGTGTCCCCCCCATATTACAGATGCTTCTGACGCCCTTAGGTGTAGCCCTAAAATAAATTTGTCAAACAAAATGTAGATTTTTAAATTGTTATGTCAAAATTGAAGAGTGCAACAACGAGACAAAGTTTATGGATTCTGCAACGTGATGTGTGTGTTTCTGTGGATTTAATGATTCTGAGTTAGGTTTTGTTAAGATCTTTTTGACTTCGTTGCTTTGGTTTTATTTTTATGTATCTATGCTACGAACTTGGTCAGGTCTCCATGGAACAGATGTTGTATCTCAATTAAATCTATGCTATGAATATATATATTTTTATAGATCAATCTTCTGCACTCTTGTTGGATTGTCTAAGTCTCTTCCTTGTTTTGTGTCGTTTTCCGCTCCCTGCTCAAAGAAAGTCTATGTTCCTTATTGCACACCCTAAGTGAAACCCATAGCATTTATATTTGTTTATTTTTAATATGATTGTTCCTTTTTTGTTTTTGACAATTAATGTTAAAATGTATGCCATCACTTACGATTTTTTGTTTGTTTGTTTTTAGTTGCTGTTTGCCATTGCTTTCACCCTTTTTTTTTTTTTTTTTTAACCATGATTAAGTCTGAAAAAAATGTTTGTGACTGCTTCAGGTATTTGGGGTATTTTTGTTTTCTCACAGTCAAAAGTTAGCATATTTTTAAAATAATATTTCTAAATAGATAGTCATAAATTAACATGTTGTAATAGTTGTGTAAATTCAACATTTAAAATGACCAACTTTATTTTACAGTGACCATGGTTTTAAATTAAAATTATTTAAATTATTCCAACAAGGACAGCTTTGGAGTAACAAAGCTAAAAGTGTGTTTAAAAAAGTTGTGTTGATAAACGATTTAACATTTGCCTAAATCAATTTAATAGCCTCTCAAGTGGCATTTTAATTTTTGTGGAGTCCACACAAATTTTATTTTACATCATTTTTTTCCTGAAAGAGTTCAAGTGTCTCCATTTGTTATGGATCAAACACTAGAAGAGTCTTGAGATTAGAAAATTATTCAAAAGCTGCTGTGTCTTCAACAATACGCAAAATCACACAATCTTTGATATCAGCTCTCGTCTCTTCCACTTCATGACCTCATGCTCCATTTCTGAATTAGTGTCAGGATGTTACACTCTTAATTAAAGGTAGTTTTCTTATTACAACCTTTACTCTTGATTTTAAATGAGTTATAGAAGGAATGTAATTATGACCATAGGTGTCGCAACCATTTTATGTGAAGGGGACAAGTCCCCCCCCCCACCCACATAAAAAAAACTTTAATAAGGTCGTCCTCCCCCCCCCCCCACTACTATTAAACACATTTGTTCCGGCGCAGTTTCTATTTCTTCGTGAACAAATCCATTCCACTTGATTAATAGGAGAATACTCAAGCTACTAAAACTCCACTCCAGGTTTTCCTGGTTACCTCCAACTCGCTCGCCAGTTTAGCGAGCTTAGTGCGCAGTGGTTGACCAGGGGGTTGATCATAAACATATATTCATGTTAGGAGGATGCTTGAGAGGAGTGCTACGTCTGTTGCATCTTAGCTTAGCAGTAACTGTGACGCTGTAAGACGCTGCAGGTGTAAGAGACGTTGTGTGTTGAGGTGCATTAAAGTTGAAATGTCTTTAAAACCCCACACTTTATTGTCCTCAAGCTTCATGAGAAACATTTAGATGAGTGTTGAACACAAGTAAAAAAAGTCCAGTTTTTTATTTCTCTATAAAGACAAATGGTACCGATCTGACGCTCTGTATTAAAGTTAAAATGTCTTTAAAATCCACAAATTAATTTACACAAAATTGGTGAGAAACATGCTTTAAATGTGTGGAATTAAAGGAAATCTAGGTGAAATGCTGCTTTTTCGTTCACTAGTGAACACCTTTTTTTACGTGTGCACACGTGCACGCGCGCACACACGCACGCTCACACACACCTACACACATCATTGTGTCCCTCCAACATTACGGATGCTTCTGACGCCCTTGATTATGACTGAAATCAAAGTTGTTTTTTTAAGTAGTCTATGGTCAAGACTTGTGTCCTCCTGAACAAATTATCCTGGTAAAACTGGTGTAATTTGTATGTAAAAACAGATTAAACTATTGAATAATGTTCTCTAGAAATTTTCCTACTTATAATCAAATGTATTTACTTTATCCTCACCTTAAAAACTAATTCTCCCATGAGTCCATTCCAGTGTCCATCGGGCTGCAAGCTGCCATATTTGTGGTCTGGAGCCACATAGATCTCATATTTAAAGCCCAGGTAGTTGGAGAGAGCGTCCAGGACATCGATGGAAAAGCCTTGATACTTCTTTGGTTTCCCCAACACATTCTCTGACACCATTACAAACGGCTCCTCCTGGAAGGCAACAAATCAATCAGTGTCAGCAAAAAAAAGCCCAAAAAACAAACAAACAACAACCAAAAAAAACAATCAACACACTAATCATTTCAATAATAAATCTATACACTACAACAAGGATTCAATTTAATGGTTGAACACATTTGTGCAACAGCAGTTTTATGTGCAAAACAGAGAAACACCCAAAGATTTAATGTAAGAGACAAATCTCTGAGAACAAAACAGACAGTTGTGTTTTATCTTTAGCCAAACTTCTAAATTTATTAGTTGATTTATAGCAAAACCATTGGTCCAAACTCAAAAACACCCTTTTGTTTTCCACTGCATTTCATTTTTCTGTACTTTGCCATGGACTGAGTATTTAATAGCTTTATTCTTCAGCCGTTCATCAGCTTTATTTCTTTTTTAATAAATCTCTATTGATGAGTGAAATGCTGTAGACTATACAGTATGCCTTGTAGATTTATGAGGGACTGTGTATTATTGACTAGACACTGGCCACACATTAAACTCAGGCATGCACATCTACACACATGCACTCAAACACGTATGCAATATCTAAGGCACTCACTTGGAGGTTTCTAATCCTTGCTAGCTGTGGCAGTTCAATAAGCTATTAGGTAGTGAGTGGACATGCATGCCAGCTCTCTCTCTCACTGCAAATATCCATCTATCACAGCAGGAACACACACTTACACACATAACTATACATACTGAGTAACCCCATGAGTGCCACTGAAGTGGATCTCCCCATCCACCAACATGTAATGGATGCATTTTGTAAAGTATGGGGAGGAAACATGGTCTTGATCCATTATTATTTTAGGAACTAAGAGATTAAAGTACACTTCAAGGTTAATTATTATCATTGACCCAACATTCAGATACATTTTTAGATTTGAGTACGTTTTTTTAATGCGTTTGCAGGAAAATATGGAGTAAAACTTTACGTACAAAAGCCTTTCTCACTCAAAGGTTGAGAAGACATTGGAACGTCATTATCTTCCTTAGCCATTCTCAACTGGAGGCTTAATGGAACTGAGTCTTGCTCCTACAAAGGATCTGTTGCTGTGCAATGAACACAAACTTGCATAAAGCATGGACACCAGGCTCAGTCATGTCACACATGTGCATTTACACACACTGAGATAAGACTTTTAGTGAGTTAGAGCAAAGGATTGTTGAGATTAATGTCTCCCCAGCTTTTCTATACAATCCAAGACAGTTCTTTACCCTGTAAACTATAACATGAACTTTTCCTACAGCTTATGAGATGAATGCACTTCCTGTAGTGCCCATTTTTAATTGTGTTCTTCATTGCTTTTGCTTTGTAGGATGCCAACTTAGAAAAATAATTGCTCTGAAATGATGCAGTGAAACCACTTTTCAAAGAAAAAGCCACATAGCACCAGGACAGTAGGAAGTAATTTATATATAATGGTTAATCCTGTCTCAGTTTTTGAAGCAATGTGCAATAAATAACAACAACAACAAAAAAAAAAGATTTCCCAAGGCACATAGTTTGGTCTGGCTTTCACATTAACTTTGATACTCTACTTGTTGTTGCTCTTTACGAACCTCATATTTTTTCTGTTGTTCAGAAGTTCCATTCTTTTTATACTCACTGGTTCTAATATACAACATGCGGCACCTTTCCTATCCTCACTTTTTCCCTGTTTAGGAAATCCTGTAGAATTGATTCCATTTGTTAATCCATCTAGACTTTCTTACTTCCACTTCCTAAATTTTATTTCCACAGAATCCTAAAAAGTCTCTTCCATCTCTGCTTTATCCTCAGGATATTGTCCCCATCTGTAATTTCCAATCACCCTCAGCACTCAACTCTACACTAATTCCTTTGGCACAGGTTCATCCTGTCTCCTCTTGAACGGAAGGACCACATATGGGTCTCGGTTGTCGTTAGGCATTTTCTGAGAAATGATTAAGGGAAAGAGGAGCTATTTTTCACAAAGACAAAGAGCCCGTCAGGAGGATGCTAGGACTGACAAGCCCAGTGATTATTATTTTAAGACTGATTTTAAAACTTTTTTTTTCTTTAAATAGGGCATGTTCTGCAGCAGAACAAACTTTAATCTGTTAGAATAAAAAAAAAATGCAGTCCTCTTCTTTAAAGATACAACATATAAAGATTAAAACAACAATGAAGCAGTTAAGATTAAAACTCAACAAAATAATATTCAAAATTTTAGGCTTAAGTACTGGACGCCCCCACAGGTTTGATTTTATGATCTTTTATTGTATTTTTATTTTTATTGTAAAACACTTTAACCTGGGCCATAATATAGATTTAGTGTTTTGTTTTTTTACTTCATTGTTTATGTTTGTGCAAAGGTACATAGCAGTACATGAATTTTACCTTTTAAATAGTACATTTCTAGAAAGATGTTTAACATTAGAGGGGGGGGGGGGTGACACCCTGGACAGGTCTCCAGTCCATATGTATTTACTTATTTATTAGGTGACATGGTGGTGCAGTTGGTAGAGCTGCCACCTCACAGCGAGAAGGTTACCTTGGCTGGGGGCCTTTCTGGGTGAAGTTTGCGTGTTCTTTCCGTGCATGTGTGGGTTTTTTCGGTTTCCTCCCACAGACCAAAAACATGCATGTTAGGCTGATTGGTAACTCTAAATTGTCCCTAGTTGTGAGTGAGAGAATGAATGGTTGTTTATCTGGTTTGTCTCTATGTGTCTCTGTGATGGACTGGAGACCTGTCCGGGGTTTCCCCCACCTCATGCCCAGTGACTGCTGGACATGGACACCAGTGACCCCCCAGCAACCTAGAGAGGAAAAAGCAGGTAAAACATAATGGATGGATAAATGGATGGATGGACATTTATTTATTTATTTATTTATTTATTTATTTACTTATTTCCATTCAGCTGTTGTTTGTTAATTGTCAGCTTCTCCAATATTTTTGCCTGGTCGTTTTGTTCTCCACCAGTACATCGTCTGTGCTGTCCCTGCTGGTCGTGTCTGCTTGGAGCACAATCAGCCCTGTCGTTTGGCTTTTCATCAACTTGGGCTTCTGTTTGTTCTGTGTCTGTTTACTGTGAGTTTAATGAACACAGTTGGATCCCATGATTTGCCTTCCATTTGCTCTTTGTTTGGGTAATTCACCATTTCATAGGACTGTGACAATTTGAATGCAAATGTACATTAGTGAGTATTTAACCAAAGTGCTTCTTCAAAACAACAAACTTTTTTTTTTACCTTTATTGGCCAGTACTATTAACGGTAACAGATTGGTTTATACAAAACAAAATAAAAAAAATAAACTTTTTATAAACGTGCCTACTGTATATCTTGTGAGTACTATTTTTTTTTCAAACAACAATTTGGGTTATTTGAGTGAACAGAATGTACAAAGAACACCTTATGCATGTTCTTGTTTTTACACTTGTGGTGTAAAATAACATTTAGAAGTTGGAAAATAACAGACTTATGTGGCCTCTTGCAAACTGAGACAAAATATTACCGAAAAAAACAAAACAAAGGTAATGTCAAGGACTCAAGATAAACCAAAACATTAATAGACTGAGTGGGGGAGAAAAAAATAAAATAAAAAAATAAAATCTTAATTTAGCACACTTAACCTCTCTCAAACAAACAAACAAAAACACAGAAACACAAGCTTAAAGTGATGATGCTACATTTCTAGGTTTGCCATTAATGAACAAAACGTCACCACACTGAGCCTCCAGGAAGGCAATAAAAATGATTATAGTGACACAGCTATTCTTGTTAAAAATTCATTTCACAATCAATAGAGTGTAAGTTAATCAATAACACTGATTTAAAGTCTGTGCTCCTAATTGTGGTATGATATAATTACTGATTAACTAATCAATAACTATTCAGTGCAGTAAGATGATAGAACAGACTGAACAATGGATTTACAAGGATGTAAATTATGCACAATAGAATCAGGTTGTTAGAGAACAATGGGAATATTGCACCTCACAGTTATACTAAAGACTGAAACACAAAGTTAAACAATATAACAAAATAAAAAGTAAAAAAAGAGCAATACTGTACATTTAAGAAGCAGCCAGAATGTTTCCCATATTTCTATCCTTCAGGCCCAAAAAGTGAAGGTAACACACAATCAAACCTATTTACTCAAGCGAAGCAGCAGAAAACAAAAGATGGAGCAGAAATGCAACACAGAATCCAAAATGTGCACAAAACATTGCACATTTTACCTTCACTGGATACCATCTCCTACTCCAGAGATGGGAAAAGCACCAGGGGGTGATATTCAAAAACACAACTCGTATCTCTGCTTCTTTTAAAGATGATGTGAATCAAAGACTTCAAAATAAACTAGAGGGAAAAGGGGATAGCAACAAAGATGTCTGGCTTTATCTATTTCTTTTCTCTGTCTCTCACTTCAAAGACAGGATATGAAGAATTCACAGCAGCAAAACTTTAAAGCACTTATAGGATGTAATCAAATCAACGCTGCAGGCAAGACAGACAGAGCTGATGAGCAAGGGTCTCACCATCATTAAGACTCCAATGTTCTTTGTCATCTGGCTGTCAGATGTCTAAATGGAATATAATGAAGAGGTAATAGTTCCATCTATCAGTAAACTCACCTTGCTATGTTTTAATCGCGTTTCAAATTGCGCCAATTCTCTTTTGTCATTTAAAAACTTTGTTAATTGAATGTGAGCTTATTTTTATTCCCCTAAACGTTTTTCACTGTGTCTCTGCAGAGGCAGATGAGTGACAGAAAGGAGGTTAAAACTTCGCAGACATACAGCCGAGCGCAAGGTTGATCTTTGACATGACGGCATGGGTCAAAGCAGTTCATTTTCATTCTTCAGAGTGAACAACAGGTGTTCCATGAGGTGAAATTGATCTTTTTCGTGTGTGTATCGAGGTCAGGAATCAAAGAAGACATGCGCATGTGTTTGCACACTGGTCACCAACTCACCAGAACAGTGACGACTCGCAGCACAACTCCCCTCATGTTGTTTTCCAATTTTCTGTCTGTCAGAGTGCCATTCAGTCCATGAACTGGGTCCCATGTGGCCAGCTGGAAGACAAATGTTCACACACACACAAAGATATTAAACAGTTAGATTAGCAGAAATCTTTATGAACCAGATACGATTTATACAGAGTAACAATCAATTGTCAACATAAGAAAGATGTTTCAGATATAAAATTATTTCTAAGAAAATCAAATCAAATTTTACTGATCTACACTAAAGTAATGTCATAAGACACGGGCGTCTGTGTCTGAGTGGTTAGAGCAGTCGTCCGCCAATGCAAGAGTTGGGGGTTCGAATCCACCTGCAGTCACATGCCGAAGTGTCCCTGGGCAAGACAGTGAACCCCTCATTGCTTGTGATGTGTGACCCATCGGGACATGAATGTGATCTAAAGCTCTGATTAGTCTCTTTAGAATGATTTGTTCAATTAGCTTTGTAGAGATCTAGTAGAGTGCTGTATGAATGGGTAAATGAGGACACAGATTGTAGTGTAAAGCACTTTGAGTATCTTGGTTAGATAGAAAGGCGCTACAGAAGTACAGTCCATTTACCATTTACAGTCCATTTTGTTTGTTAAACACATTGGTCTTTAACCTCATGGTGTGTGGTGTGCACCTACGACTCCTAATGACCTATGTTCCTTTGTTTACCATATTATTCAGACTATAAGGTGAACTGAAAAGCCTTAATTGTCTAAAAAAAATGTCAGCAAGCCTTAATCCGGTGTTAATTCTGGTTGTGCTTACTGACCTCGAACTGATTTTATGTGTTACATGGTGCTCAAAAATCTGTCAAAATGAACTTGTTTCGATTTATGCGCCTTATAATCCGGTGCGCCGTATGAATGAAAACAGACCCATTCGTTGATATTGCGCCTTATAGTCCAAAAAATAAGGTACATCAAATCCAGTCTCAGTTCAAAACATGTAACAGTCTGACTGATGGATGGCGTTTTATATACATATTTATGTGCAGACTTGTGATGGATGGATGGATGGACAGATGGACTGATGGACCAACAGTCAGACAGGCAAACACACAGACAGAATCTTTAAGTTGTAGTTATTTTACATTTTTCAAGTCCTGGTACAGAAATTTCCATGCTTTGTACTTGTAATTGAAACCGCTAATATATATATATATATATATATTCTTGAGTGACATTGTGATGACTTTTCTTAAACACACCAAGAATTATCTCCATTGCAGTATGGAAGCTGGTAAACTACTGCGCCATGAATGTAATAGCACAGCATTGTTCACTAATGGCAGCAGATTTTTGTATTATTATGTGCCAGTCTTTGATTCAGCTCTTATCATGTGCCGTGTGTGAGCAAACCAATTACCGAGTCTGGCTGACTTTAGTTTATTATTAACAGAATTTTTTGCAAGCCAAGTGGAATGAACCTGCGAGCAAGATATAGGACCCCCAGTTAATGGTCACTGCTTTACATTATAAATAAACAAATCTCATTTCCAAAGTTCTTCAAAACATCACACGCACAAAAAGCAGTTTTCAAAAAACACATTTCAAGTTTTCTACCATAAATAATGTAGAAGAACCGTTTGAGGAATATTAAGAAGTATAAAGTTTGGTGATGAGCCCAAACATTTAAGTTTGGTAAAGAACAGCACTAGTGAACCGTTTATAGATAGAACATAAACTTCCAGCAATTAATTTTATGTTTTGATAAGCATTTTCTCTTCAAACACTACATGCTCCACAGAAACAATTAGTTTGGCAATACTTTATGCTACTTCAGCAGCTAGAACAAAAGATTTCTTAGGAAGAGGCAAAGTCCAAACAAAAATAAAAGGCTGCCACAACTAGTGCAGAAATGTTAATGCTTTTCTCAAATTTCATGGGTCAGATCAAAATTTCTATGTCTTTCAAATTGCATCATAAATGACCGGTCTTTTCCACTGGAGCACATTATATAATCCCTGTACTGCCTCTTGCTTTCAATAAAATATTATTTTTAGCTTCATAGATCAAAGTAGGCTGGCCTCCCTGCAGACAGAGAGCCAGTAGTGTGTGTGTGTGTGTGTGTGTGTGTGTGTGTGTATGTATATATATATATATATATATATATATGTATATATATATATATATATATATATGTATATATATATATATATATATATATATATATATGCATGATTTAGCTGTCTGCTATTCAAATACTAATACACAACCAGACAAACACACTGTGTCACACAAAACGTTGCACAGCATGATGTCTGCTTGGAAAAAAAAATAAAAAAAAGAAAGAAAGAAAAGAAATAACCTTCCTGCTGCCTTTGGGTCAAAATTACCCATGGGGCCTATGTCCTGAGTAATTTCGATCCAAGAGCAGCAGAAGGGTTAAAGCATGCAATGAAGGAAAATATAGGATATACTATTTTAAAAACAGATAATTGTACTATTTAGGCAATAGTTGATCAATTCACTTTGGAGCCAATAGTTTGGTACAACATAAGTTGTTACTAATTTTTGACACAGTCATTATTATTATTTTAAATAAAGTATTTCTGAGAAGAAGGGCACAGTCAGTGCCTGGTCCTCTGGCTGAGTTGTCTTGATAGACATAAAGTTAGTGACCAATGGGCAGATTTTCAATAAGAAGCCTGTATTCCACAATAAAAGACAGTGGAGCAGTTGATTAATGGGCCACTGAGAGAAAGCCAGTTCATTTTGTGTTCATCATACTGAAAGGTATTGGCCAAACTCCTCTTTTGTATCGCTTTTAACCACAACACTGTCTGCAAGGGCTTTCAAGAGCCATTCCATGTTAATTAAAATTAGTGATTCGGAATTAGTTTTTGCAGCTTGCAACTTCTTGCTATTTCAAAAAGAAAGTAAACAGCTGAACAACAGGTCCATCTAAACAAACACCTGTTGCACTTGCTATTACACTTTTTTCAAAACTTTTTTTTTTCCTCAGATATCTCAACTCCCCTGGATAATGTGAAAAAAATGACTAAACTAGTGTGGTTTTAATGAATTCCTGTTTTAGTTGCACAGTTCTTTGAGTGAGCTTGTGTTTTTAAATGTGCCCAAATAATAACACTGTCAATAGCATTGATATTGCAAGAGTAAAAAAAAAAAAAAAAAAAAAAAATTCACACATCATTAGCATCTAAGAATTCTTGATGCAAATAGATAAAAAGGTTAAATGATCAAAACTGTGGGCAGCAGCTGATTTACATTTATGGTTTAAATCAGTAAAATAAGCTGATTGGCGCAGCTAAAACCAAGAAAGAACAATTGTTAGCTACACTGAGCGGAAAATTAAAAGGCACAGGAACTTATGACTTACACTAACCTGATTTAAAACAAGTGCATAATGAGATCAATTCAAAGGTCCTCCACCCCGCTGATGTCCAGGGGTGTTTTTAAACATTTTGTCTGATTAATTATCTTCTCATACATTTCCAACTTCTCCTAACAGCATCAATGTTATTACAGATGTATGTATTAGACCATTTTAATATTCTTTTTTTTATATATAACATCTAATATCCGGAGCATCATCATCCTTACATATTTTAAACAGACATTTAAATCACCATAACAAATAAGCAAGGGCTTTTATTGAAAACAACGTGTTTTATTTATCTATCTTTCTTTAGGCTGCTCCCTTCTTCAGGCATCACAGCAAACAAAGGTGCACGAAGACTTCACAATTATTTTTACACTGGATGCCCTTCCTGAGCAGAGAGCTGTCATGTAGGGTGCCCAGGGGAGCAGACCGGGGCGGTTAAGGGCCTTGCTCAAGGCCCAGAGAAGGGCAAATGAGGGTGGAGGCAGGTGTGGGTGCTTCACCTTTCCCACTAACATTTTGATGTTGTCGAACTAGGGAGTTGAACCCGTGACCTTTCGATCACAGGCCTACCTTCTCTAACCTCTGCGCCACCACTCCCCATTGAAAACAAAGTGTAACTTCCTTACACAAAAAAACTAAACAAAACACCACCTGCAATGGCTAGTTAGGCATGCACAGCCTGTTTGAGTGACACTCTCTAACTTTGCTGGTGACTTTATTCCAACTTGTACTACGACATTACTTATGGAAGTACAAAGCTTTTTTTTTTTTTTTTTTTCCATTGATGCAGAGTCCAGTGATCTCACAATTCACAGATAAGCCTCACCTACAATCATTCTGTGAAAATCAATCACTTGAAAGGTGTTTCTATAGGTGCTAATCTAATTATCTTCACCACATTATTGTGACTATTGTAAATTAACAACACACGTATTCTCCATCTGCATTCATCCCAAGTCTTACAGATACGGACGGCATTTTAAATTGCTGCTGTTTATGTTTCAGTCTGTAGGTGGAGATGTGGAGCTTGCATGACAGTATTAGTATTTTCACAGTTTGACAATACAGAATGTAACTTTATGTATGGTATTTTTCTTTGATGGTTTTATAACTCATTTATTTAAAATACATAAAGGAGAGAAAAACCTCAACATATTATTCTTGCCACAACCTCAATGCCTGTACACAGCCTTTGATTATAGTGTCAAGTATTTTTAACTTCACTGTTCTTCTTTACACAAACGGGGCCTGTGAGACTGCCCACTTCTTTCTGTTTGACATGTATGGGTGTGTAATTCCCAGCAGAAAAGGGGCTTGTGCAAAATGTAAAAGTATCAAGAAACTAGACGTACGCCAAGCACACGAGGAGAAAAAAAGTTGAGAAAGAGATTGGAGGTTCACAGCAGATAAATAAGACACAGATATGTGATAAGCAAGAATGAGTAGAGGCTTTGTAAAAAGTGATTTACAGCACAGCAGCTGTTGCAAGTGCTTGTAGAAATGTGACCATGTATAATCAATAAAACATATGTGATGCAGCCAAATGCTTCTGGGAAAGCCAGTGGCAAAATAAAGAAGGTATACTTTTATGCCAAAGCACACTTGGAATACAGACACAGAATTACAGATTAATTTACCTTGGTTACAGAGAAACAGCACGAACAACGGTTTTAGAACTGCATCAGGCAAAGTGTTTTCTTAATGAAAAGTGAAAA